TGCAAGAGAGAGGGAACACTGAGTTCCCTTTTTTCTGTTTACTCTTTTCAGCCTGAATCCTGCCCGCCCTTCAGGTTCGATAACACCTCCTTACTCACTGGGAATGCAGGAGTCACACCTTCGGGCAGGGAATCAGGCTCCAGAGCCAGTTAACTCCCTTGTTATCAGCTGATAAGACCAGCCCTCTTGATCAGAATATCAAATAAGAGACAGAATGCTGAAAAGAGAAACCTACCTGTTCCAGGGCAGTTTCTCTGTTTATCTATTAATGGAGAAAAATTTGAATCCCAGGTGGCAGAATCTTCCAGCTGGTAGGGAACTTCAAAGCACTATGCTGCAGCTCTCCAGGATCATTACTATTAGGATTAAGGGTCTCTAGCAATGATTAGCAGGGCACATTTCCCCCCACTTCCTGACACCTGTTCCCAGCAGAGTTCCCATTCCTCAAAGAACTCTTCGAGGGCCTTGATTTCCAAAGCAGGTAAGATCTTGGTCCATCTGCCCAAGCACACAAGCACAGACTTCTGGTTCGAACCGTGGCCACACAAGTTATAAAACAATGTTGCATCTTTTCTAACCACAGACTTACAATGGGACAAAAGTAAGCTAGAAAGAGTTTCTAAAATGAAAAGGAACTCAGGATCATAGTGGACCTCTGATTCAAAGCAGGATTCAGGGTTCATGAGAAATTTAGAGGTCTAAAGAGAACAGGAAAGCAATGAAGTCTTATTCATACTTGACCAGAAAAGGCAGGAGAGCACCTAAGAGTCTGAGACAAATGCTAATCAGAATAAACTAGCCAGGGCTCCAGTCCCAAGGACTCCTGTGGCACACCAGTAGCCAACTCTCCACACTGGCAAAACCACAGTGCTTCACTTCCCACCTACCAGCATCCCCACTAGTTCCCATCCAACAATGTCAGGGAATACCAGATCCCTCGGCCACAGCCACAGCATATACATGTTGTGTTCTGGAACAAATGTTAAAATCAGGCAATCAATAGAGAGTCCCTTGCCGAGGGTGGGCATAAGTGTAATTTCCCATAGAATGAGAAAAAGATACCTCACTTGGTTAGTTATTTTTCGTTTGGCTGGTTACTTGCTTATTTGCTTGCTTTTGGTTGTTTTATTTTAACCAGATACCTTGACAAGTGCTTTTCAAAAGGAATAAATTTTTTTTTCGCTGAATAGCTTCAGGCTTAAAAATATTAAAACTAGAACAGATTTTTAAACTTCTAACAGGCTCATGGGTAGAGTTGAAATTTGTAAGAGGCCTATGGAAACAAGATGGAGGGATGACTACATTATTTCTTTTTCCAAGTGTCCAGTTTCATAAGAGTAACATATAAACACAGGATAGCTCTGAGGCTGTTTCCTGAAGGGGGGGGGGGCTGTGCCATAAATGTCCTCTACATCTCTGTCCTGAATCATAGGGCTGATATGTAGTTTAACCGAGTATGTTGAAGAGAACAAGGACCACCCCCTTAGCTACTGTCACCAAGTGGTTCTTTTGGGTTACTCAGCCAAGGTACTCTCAAGGTGAAAAGAAATTTGAGGTTAATACCTACAGTAAAAATAAAATCTTCTCAGGTTTTAAAAGGCATGAAGGCAGAAATTATTTCTCATGAAACTTTAGACCCTCTACAGCATCTGGCAAAAGGCACTGAAGAGTATTTGAGCTTTAAAATACTTGATGAATAAATGAATTCATGGGTGAGTGTATATTAATTGATAATATGAAGAGTGTGCCATTGTGTTGCTATCTTGAACACACAAAGATATAAATGAATACACAAGTAAAAGATCCATGCTTGCATTTGCAGAAACCACTTCAGCAAATTCTGCATGATCTCCCTCTTCTTTTTCAATATATCTCATTGACTGCCAATTCCTACATCATGACACATTGCTTTGTGATACACACCTTAGAGTTTATGACTACACCACTGGCATTGGCTGTTGCCTGAGATGGAAATCTTTCCAAGGTGATTAGTCAGATAGGAATGCCCTCATCTTGAGTACCACATTTACAAATTATCTCCCAGGATAGGTTATTCCCTGAGATGATTCTGGGAGAATGTCCTTTATACATTTTTAGCATTGATTTAGATTACGACATTTTCTGGTCACATCTCCAACTTTGGAGAATACATTCTATTAGTTTTGTGATCCCTGTACCAGGACTCAGTACCTGTTTTTCCAGAGTGAAGTACCTCAAAGTCATGTGCTGTGATGAGAAAGAAAGATTTGGAGACAGCTCTGCAATTTATTTGGAACCCCAGATCAGCCTTTCCCTTGGTGTGTGTCCTTGAACAAGTGCCTTCACTTCTGAGTCTCAACTTCTTCAACTATAAAATGGAGTTAATATTATTATCTGCATTACAGGGTTTTTAAAATGTGGATTGAAATTTTTAATGTCTGAAAAGCTCCTAATAGTTTTCAGTCAAATGTAGCAATTGGCAATGACAATGAGGGCAGGACAGGGCCTCCTGTTCAGTTTACAGCATCCTCTGAGTCTTTTGCCTGCAGCAGTGTGGCCAGGTCCCCCAGTGTTCCCAAAGAGAAAAATATTACTAAGTATTTCTCTGGGTTTTGTTTGTTTGTTTTTTCTATTCCCAAGTTGAATTCTGCCAGGGCATCATTAACTGGGCTCACTGAGGGCAAGAAAGACACCTCCTTTGGATATACCCAACAGCCCACTTATTACTACAGTTTTGCAAGGTCTTTAACCATCTGCATTTCTACTGGGTCTGAGTAGTAGTGTGACCTTCACTGGGCTTTTTTCTTCTTTTTAAAAAACGCCTTCCTGGAACACTACTTGCCAAGATATTAAAAGTTATCTCCAAGAGGTGAGATAAAGAGGTTTTAGGTTTTATCCCAGTTTATGGTTTTCTATAGGTTCTTCAATTTTTATAATCCATTTACTGCTTATGTAATAGGGGGGAAAATCAGCTATTTCAAATAGAAGAAAACCAATTCCTTTACCCTTCTCTGACTCCACATTGTGGGATTGGAGCATTTGTGGCATTAAGACTAGACACAAGAACCTGTTCCCAAGAGGTTTCAGCAACACTGTGCTCACTGTGACCCTTGAGGGGTGCAAACTCTCCATTGAAGATAAGGTCTTATAGGTTAGCATTTCTAGATACTGAGGAAACTATCTTTCACAAGTTAGAACCCCAACATAAATTAGTTTCAACAGATAAGGGGATTTTTAAAAATAATGATACCGTGATAGCTCTTGGATCCCAAGGAAAGAATGTGCTTGGATTTCAGGAATTGCTGGATCCCAGAGCTCAACTATCAGGACTGTACCTACCTCTTGAATTTCATCTGGGTTGTCATTATACAACAGCTTTCTCCATCTGATAGAAACTCTGGGTTCCCAGCCCCATGCATTAGTTCTTCAGCCCCTGGAGAGGGACTGACCTGATGCTGTCTGTGTCCAAAGTACACACATCATGCATAAGGGTCTCCTATGTGCAGTTTGAGTCAAATGCCCATGCTGAGTTACCTTACTGTGGTCAAGGGACAAGATACTATGTTGTGGCTTGAAAGATCAGGGTCAACAGTACTATTCAAAATGTGTCCTGTGGACCACACTGCTGCACAAGTTGTTGTTATCCATCCCCTCTTGGGGACAGGTTCTTGTGTCTAGTCTTAATGGCACAAATGAACAATTCTGTTACCAAAACTGAAAATAAACATTTCTAAACTTTTACAATAATTTGACATTTCTGTGACACTCAAGCAAGTAATTTTGTATTTTGCCAAGGGCATCAATTTGTGACAGCACAGAAACTAAAATTTTGAAAAGCACAGATGTAAGACTTGGCAGCTCCTTCAGGAGTCATATGCTTCAGGGAAGAGAAAGGTATATCCTGGAGTGCTAGAACAATTGGTGTTCAGATCATTGTATATCTACACAGCTCTGTGGTCAAGTCAAGCAGACTGACCCAAGTTAGCAGACCTGCCCTCTGGAAGACACCAAGAACTAATTTGTCTTCCTTATAAAATTCATCAGACCTGTAACAGACATGCATAATGACTGTCGTTCCACACTTTTGTCAAAAACTCTGAGACCAGAGGCGGATCTGACCTGTTAACTACTGTCATCCCAAGCCCACCTGTGGGGATTCACTAAATAAGTGTTGTGATAGCCGCTGCCGTTTAAAGGATGCACTAGAAACAATATTGAACATATCTGGGGTGTAGTCACTATGGGAGGATCCAGCAGGATTTACAGCTTTAAAAAAATGATTTTTAGAATGGGGACTACTGATAAGCTGTGGTAAACATATTGAAAGGCCTGGTATTGATATACTGATCTTCTTTACATATATCTGAAACCTACAGCTTACCATGACCTTCATAGTTGTTTTTAGAAATAGACAAAATTGGTGTGCTCTTGACTTCCCATTTAGTAACCTTGGCTTCATACTATACTATAAAGTAATAGTGAATTTTCCTCAAGTGGACACAACTATATGACACTTTGAACTCAAATGGAAAGACAAGAGAAGAAAGAGATTCTGGTTAAGAGTGAAAGCAATATGGTTTCACTGTAATCTCTACAATAATTTAACTACTACTTTAGACAAATCATTTTCCCTTTCTGGACCTCAAATTATCAAGTTTGAAACTGAAGTAGATAAATTCTAAGGATCCTCCCAACTCTAACCATCCATAATTTTCTCCTTTGATACACATCTGTGTCCATATCCTTCATCAGTCCACTGTGCTCACTGTGACCCCTGAGGGGTGCAAACTCTCCATTGAAGATAAGGTCTTATGGGTTAGCATTTCAAAACATGTGACATGTTTTGCATTTTTTTTTTTTACAGTTCCACATCTTTGACAATGATGGGGTTCCTAGCTAATGGACATGCTATTCCTCAGAGGTGCTGGTTAGTTGTGGTTGCTGTTTTATAAGCCCAGAGCCTAATCATCTGTGTAGGGGTGGTCTAATTTATCTACTTGTGTCTCTCCCTTGTCCCACAGCCATGCTGCAAGCAGTGCGAGCCCTAATGATTGTGGGCATAGTACTGGGTGTCATCGGCCTCCTGGTGTCCATCTTTGCCCTGAAGTGCATCCGCATTGGCAACATGGAGGACTCTGCCAAGGCCAAAATGACACTGACCTCCGGAATTGTGTTCATTATCTCAGGTAAACATGAATTCCCGGTCTCAAACACACTTCTGAGAATGTAAAAAAAAAAAAAAAAGAATCATTGTGGTAGAGAAAATGTGCCTCCTCCCTCCTATGGAACATGGTTCAGACCCTTTGACACTGGGATTCAAGATCTGAGTGTGGAAGCCTAATTATACTTTACAGAACCATCATGAATGCTAAGATCCTAGCATTAGTCAGCTTTTCATCACTGTCACAAATATTGAGGAAAAACAACATATAAGAGGAAAGATTTATTTTCCTCTTGGTTTTAGAGGTTTCAGTCCATGCCTGTTCTGCTCTATTGCTTTGAGCTTGAGGTGAAGCAAAACATGGTGGAAGGTATGGTAGAGCAAAGCTGTTTACACCATAACAAGCTGGAATCAGAGCGACACAAAGAGAGAGACGAAGGGCCAAGGACAAGATACACCCTTCCAGAACATGCCCCCAGTAACTACTTCCTCCAACAAGGCCCCACTTCCTGAAGTTTCCACCACCTCCCACTAATGTCTTATTAATCCATCAGTGGATTAACTTACTGATGTCGTCAAAGCCCTCATGGTACCAATCACTTCCCAAATTTGCTGCACTGCTGACTAAACCTGCAACATATGAGAGGATCTTCAGATCCAAACCATAACTGTCTCTCTTAGCCATCACCCTAACCCAAACCTAATAGGCCCAACCCTAAGGTAGTCACGTGACTGGATCCTTAAAAGGCTTCTTTTTGAGGCTCTAACAAGGGACAAGCTTTTAACATTATCAAGATCAGATCCAAAGCATTTGAACTATTATCCTTGGTTCCAACATGCATGGAATATCTCTTTCTGTGCATGTGCACGTGCACACACACACACACACACACACACACACAAACACACATCCTTCCAGATAAGCACCTAGCCCATGGTCTAGCACATAACAGGAATTCAATAATCAATGGTTGGATTGATCATTCTTTTTTAGGAGAAAAACAGTCTGCAGCCTGCTCATCTAAACTCATGTAAGCATAAACTTTCTCAGAAATATTGCATTCTCTTAAAGCTGACTCTGGAGCTTTCTTGTTCTTTGCCCACAGGTGTGTGTGCAATTATTGGAGTGTCCGTGTTTGCCAACATGCTGGTTACTAACTTCTGGATGTCCTCGGCTAGCATGTACGGCACCATGGGTGGGATGGTACAGACTGTTCAGACCAGGTAAATTCCTAATCCATGTCTCCAAATTCCATGGTGAATACTTTTTAAGAATCTGATTAAACACATGTGCCTAATGTGACTGTCAGTGCCTGAAATAGCAAAAATTTATCACAGGCAACCATGCCATATCATAAATCAAGAATAATCTGTAAATTCATAAACTTCATTTCAGTGAAATATCCTTGGTAATATGACTTAAGGCTGATCTGACATTTGCATTGAAATACAGTGACAGTTCACAGTATTTATCTAACACTCTTACACAGGCCCCATTGTAGTGGCAATGAAACAGGCACTATTAACCCAGGCATGTAAATGAACACCAACTTACATCTACAGTCCATAATGAGAACCTGACTAGGGACAGGTAAAAGCCTGAATAGAAATGAGCAAGGTAAGAAAAGGGATGTTTCTTCCTTATACAACAGCCTCTTTACCTCATTCATTCATTCCTTCTGCAAATGTGTTGGGCACCTATGAGCCAGGAAGTGTTCTCAGTGCTGGAGATACAGACAAGTCCCTACTTTTATGGAGGTCAGAGTCTAGCAGAGGGAATTGAAACCATTCTATAATTTGGGGCCCAAATAAGGGTAGAACTTTAAAAGGATGGAAAAGCAATACCAACACCTATATTCACTTAGCCACTTCAAATGAATATGCTGGATAACAAGAAACAATGGTGAAATCCCAAAGGAGAAGATCTTGTTAGGGAAGAATGATATAAATAGTACATCAAAGTGACCTCCCCTCTCTGCAGTAGATGCACTTGGTATCTCTCCAGCCACACCAACATGAGGTACAGGTAGGGTGTGAGGAGGTGATAAATACACTACTCTCTGGCTCTCTGGAACTCCAATCCCCACCTATGCTTCTGCTTTGCTTTATGAATAAGAAACTTAGTCCTTGTAAGTTGCCTTGTCCTCCTCCATGTTCTTCAAGGTCTCTTGATTGCCAGGATAACTTAGAAATAGGCTAACTAATTCATTCCAGTTCTCCTGGGTCTTTCCCAGTTTTAGCCCTAGAATTCCCACCTCCTGGGAAATTCCTCCATCACAGGAAAAACAGAATGTTTGACCATCCTACTTAGAAAAGCCTACCTGCTTGGAGCCACCCACCACTCACTCTATACCCACAGCAAACACCTGACACCACTGCTCTTTCACTTTCACTGCTCTTTTCTGGGCACCTACCTTGTCCCCTGGGCAGGCCACTTCAGTCCTATAAGTAAGATTGGATTCTGAAAGGCCTTCTGAACTTCTCTCTCCATGGTTGGGCAGCTATCTTTCCCCTTTCTTCTTTCTCCTCACTTTCGCTATCCAGAAGTCACACAAGACCACCCAGTTGACAAGAAGCATCCTTGGAGCTCATTTGATGGGACTTTGGGTTCAATGCCCCATTTATATATCCCCTCCTTCACCTGTCCCCCAACTCTGTTGATGCCACATTGCAACACTGGCAGAGCCTAAGCCCTGGAGCAGAGCTTCAAACTGCCTACTCTCATACTGCACAGCACACATTTGGTTTGAGGGCAGCTGCCTTGGAATGAAGAATTCTATCCTACCTCCTTGTCCTACCTAGTGTTGTTGGGGGATGAAAGGCAGACCTGTGATGAATGGCATGCAGGTATTTTGTATTAGCCTAACTCTTTCATCTTATAATCTGAATTAATCATCAACTTTTAAAACTCAAAGCATCTCAGGTTAGGATCCTCAAGAATGGATCCTGAGAAGATGCCTGTGCAGTGTTCATGGAGAAAGGGAAGGTTGGTTAGGAAGGGAGCAAAGCAAGACAGGAAAGGGGAAGCCAGGCATGAGTCTCAAGGTCAGGCTGATCCTCACAGGAGCTCTGTAGGGTAGGCACACCTCAGGATGGTCTCCACCCCAGACTAAAGAGCTGGGCTTCCATGCCTCAGTACTGTCATAAGGGCAAAGTGGCCTCAGGAGCTGACTCAAAACCACAACTCCAGGAAGAGCCTCAGGGACCTGCAGGTTAAGGCAAAAGCATGCACAGGCTGGGAACAGACACACAGAGTGATTGAAGAGGCAAAGCACCATGAGCACCTGGACAGATTTCACAGCACACATGTGCACATTCACGTACACACACCTATTTTTCCAGCTTTCTGTATTAAAAAAAAAACTAATATCTGGCAGCACTGGATCCTCATTCTCAGAGGGCAGCCATCTCTGCAGCTGAAAGGCAGTTTTCCTTTTTAGTGAGGTATCACACTCTCAGTTTACCTAAGTCCCCAGTACCTCATTTATCATCATATTTATGGGGCTCCTCCCAATAAGAATCAAGAAAATTAAATGTTTTCTTATATCCAACTACTTCACTCATTTAATTCCTCACCTAACCTAGGTGAATACTTAAGTTTGCTAACTTTGACAGAGTGTGTCTAAGATGAGGAAAGGAACCTTGTTCCCATCACAGAAGAGAATATAGTTTAACAATTAACAATGAGGACTTTGAAGGCAGAGTGACCTGAAATTAAATCCTGACAGTGCCAAGTCCTTCCTGAGTCTTTGGAGGAGTTATTTAACCTCTCTGACCCTCAATCTTCTCTTTGGTAAAATGAGAATGATAAATCCTAATACATTGACTCTTATGAGAATTAAATGAGATAGGAGTAAAATATACACTTATCACAATATCAGTAAGGGCTCAATAAATGGTAGCAATTATTGTTAAATTATTAGCATTATGTTGCCATTCAGCCAAATTATAGGGATAGCAAGGACAAGGGCTCTGTCTATGTTAGGGCAGAGAGACCAGGGCTGCCTCCATGAAAGTCAACAAGGTCCCCCCAGGAGAAGACTACAGGTCTGCCATTCAACCCCCAGAAACACTAGGTAGGATAAGGAGGTAGGACAGGATTCATTCCAAGGCAGCTGCCCTCAAACCAAATGTCTTTTTCATAGTCCAAAGGAAATTAAATAGCTTGTGTGTAAATTTTCTCCCAGAACTTTTTCAAGATCCGAGCTCAGTTTTGCCCTACATGTTACACTTGCCCACAAGTCTTACATCATTCATCCCCTATATCTCAGCATCAAGGAAGTTCTGTGCACATAGCAGGATCTCAACAAATACTTGTTGAACAAAAGAGTAAACAAATGAACAAAAAAATGAGCAATCACTTCAATCTAGTTCTTTCAGAAGATAATACTCCTACTTGCATGGAAGATTGTAAGGTATATTAGTCAGCTTCCCATTACTATAATGAAACACCTGAGATAATCAACTTATGGAGAGAAAATGTTTATTTTGGTTCATGGCTTTGGAGATTCCAGTCTAAGATCAGGTGGAGCCACTGCTTTGAACCTCTAGTGGAGTTGCCAGATAGCAATGTAGGAGAATGTGTGGCAGAGCAAACTGCTCACCCCATGGCCAGGAATCAAAAAATAAGCAGGGGGCCAGGATCCTATAATCCCCTTCAAGGGCTCTCCCCCAATGACCTAAGGACCTCCCACTAAGCAGTACCTTCTGAAGATTCCACCACCTCTCAATAGCACCATCCTGAAACCAAACCTTTAAAACATGGGCCCTTTGGAGACATTCAACACAAAAACCAAAGCATAAGGATTACCTAGGGTAAGGTAAGATGAATACTTATTATCCCATAGTGAGAGCTCAAAGAATTAAAATTCCATACCTTTCAAAGTTCTCTTGCCAAACCTCCTAGTCTCTCTTTCCCAGCAGAAAAGGGAGGGGGACCCCCCAAAATGGGGACAGAAAGAATGGGCATGGCCAGGGGCAGTGGGCAGAGCTTGGAGAGTCGAGTCAGCTTCATTCACACTCACCATTTCACCACCTAGGTACACCTTTGGTGCAGCTCTGTTCGTGGGCTGGGTCGCTGGAGGCCTCACGCTAATTGGGGGTGTGATGATGTGTATCGCCTGCCGCGGCCTGACACCGGATGATACCAAGTGAGTCTTCTTTTTCCAATGCAATTAGACACCTCATTTGTTCAGAATCCCTTTTAATGTATAATTTATAGCCAAAATGATTAATCCAGGTACTTAGAAGAACTTTATTGACTTAAAGTTCATTACAACTTTCCTTCTCCTAAAGAAGAGAACAGAAAGACTTCAACTGGGAAGATTTAGGAATGATATTATTTTAAGGAAAAGAAAAACATCCCTCTAGGTTGCTTCTATCTCCAATATTCCACAACTCAGTAGTTCTCAGCTGGGAAAGAATTTGTACCACCTCCCAGGATATTTGGCAATATCTAAAGACACTTTACATTTATTTAATTTATTTATTTTAATTAAGTATATATGCAGCAGAGTGCATTTTGATTCATTGTACACAACTGCAGCACAACTTTACATTTCTATGGTTGTACATGATACAGTATCACACCATATATGACACTTTACATTTTTGATTGCTGCAACTTTGGTGAGAGGCAGAGGGGAAGTGATTTCTATACCCTAGCACAGGCCAGGGTAACTATCCTACAAATTCACAGGATGGTACCTCACAACAAAGAAGCATACAATTCCAAAGTGTCAACAGCACTGCTATTGAGCAATCCTACTCTAAATCCACAAAAGACCTGAAGTTGGTAGAGCTGAATTCTGATGTAGTTCTACTTCTAACCAGCCCTGTGACCTCCAGTGGATCATTTGTTCTCTCTGGGCCTCTGTCTTTGTCCATTTGGGCTGTTATAACAAAATGCCACAGAGTGGTTCATTTATAAACAATAAAAAATATATTTCTCATGATTCTGCAGGCTAGGAAGCCCAAAATCAAGACACTAGCCAATTTGGTGTCTGGTAGGGCCCAGTCTCCATTCCAAGATGGTGCCTTTTTGCTGCCTTCTCTGAAGGGAAGGAGCACTGACCTCACAGGGCAGAAAGGTAAAAGGCCAAGAGAGAGCTTCTTCAACCTCAATCCCTTTTTTAAGGCACTAAATCCTCCTGATTTAATCACCTCCCAAAAGGTCCAACCTCTTAATACCATCACAGTGGTGACTGAGTTTCCATGTGAATTTTGGAGGGTACAAATTCAGAGCATAGCAGCCTGCATTAACTTATCCATAAAATAAGCAAACTGGAGGAGATGGGTTGCACATACCTTCCAATTCACAAAGTCTATGATTCTTTGTCAGAATAGTGTTCCCCTAGACATTGTTTCTGGTTAACCTTCATTTTAATTAACAGAGAGAACCCATTAGTCACCCACTACTAGCACAGTGAAGCTCTAATATAAAAGCAAGAAATCCTGCCCCAGGAAAAAGCAAAAAACAAAAAACAAACAAAACAAAACAACAACAACAAAAAAACCTAGTATCACAAAGAACAGGATCACCAGACATCTTAGTTTGCTCCTAATAGGTCAGAGACATCCAGGGAAACAGGAAGTCTGTCCTACAAACATCTGTGATCATGGAACAATTCTTTTTTTTTTTAGCTACAGAGCTGTGTCTTATCATGCCTCGGGTCACAATATTGGCTACAATTCTGGAGGCTTCAAGGCCAGCACTGGCTTTGGGTCCAACATGAAAAACAAGAAGATATATGATGGGGGTGCCCGCACAGAGGATGAGGGACAATCTCATCCTTCCAAGTATGACTATGTGTAATGCTCCAAGATCCTTTGGAACGGACAGAAGAAACCCTCCCCCAAAACCCACTGCAAAACAAGAAGATTCCACCTTGATTCCTTATTGTTTTTGACTCAGAGTTGAAAGTTAGAAAATCTTGATTTCATCTGTCCTGAAGCCAGATGATCTTTGACTACATATCTCTGTCTCTAAATATTCCGACACAAAAATGTTGAGTTATCATTTGTAAAGTATTTGTAAAGTTATCATTTGTAAAGGCTACACAGCTTAAACTTTCTACACTTCTTTCAATACAACTTTTTAAATCTGAGGATAGAATGTGGTTTGACTCCCTGACACTGATAATTTAAATAGACTCTTCTTGCTCCTTCTGTTTAATAAACCCATTGACCATTTATTTGCCAGCTTATCCCCAAGAAAAATTTTTAAAGGAAAACAAGGAAGTAGATCCAAAGACATTATTTTCTGCTATTTGATTTTTGCCTCTCCCATTCCCAACTGGCTACTAATAAACATTAATTGGAGAAGAAATGATAGGGAAACACATGTGTGATCTCTCCAGCCCACTCTGAGTTTTCTTACACTGTAACTTTAAAAATTACTAGACCAAAGTGATTTCTACTTGAGGCAACCAAAACTTTCTGCTTCTGTTGGCATTTGCTAATTCCAGCAAGGTTATCCAATGGGGTTTCTTCTTCCTATTGCAAGTCATAAATTGTGTCTAAGGGGCTGAGAAAAGACTGTTTTATAATCTAAGTCCTAAATATAATCAGAAATTTATTAGCAAAATTATAGCCTTCCCTCTCTTCTCTCTCCTCCCTCTCTTCTCTTTCTGCCCCCTGGTGTATAGTGAATTGGCTTCACCCTTGCACATAGGAAGAAAATTGAAAAAGTACTTGTCTTTATTGTATTACTTTGTATAGTCACATATAAGTCCAAATTCCATAAAAAGCTCTCTGATCCTAATTCTTCCCTTTTGAAGCCTCCAAGACCAATTATACATAATAAATGCAAACCATGTAAATGACAAATAATGGAACACAGAAATGCCTAGGAAGTGGCTAAAAGCAAGTTCTTTAAAAAAAATGGTAAGGCCAAATTTAATATTTTTTATCCACACTAGCAGTTGATAGTAGCACTTACTGAGAGCTGTTCCCTTCACTAAATTCACCTGGAGTGGTTGAAATATTTGAGTTGCAGGCAGAACTGCAAGTTCTTTGCAGCCACACCCCTGCCCAGTGCTTGTATCACTCTGCCCTTTTGAACAGAAAACCTTAACTCCTTCCAGGGCACTAGAACCTCATCCTAGCACCAAAGCCAGAATAGACTCCCTGGGAAATGGAAGTAAAGGCAATCTGAAAGCCACCAATCCAGGGAGCAGCAGTGTCACTGGAAGAATCTGATTTGGGGATTATTATTTGGAGGAAAAGAAAATCCTTACATCAATAGTGCATAAGAAAGTGGCCCCCGGGACTTGGTAAATACTGAGGGGTTTTCAGGTTAAATGGACCATGCTGAATAAAGACCAGATCACGGCCCATTAAAAAGGAAGGAGAGTTCTCACCAAGAGCCAGAGCAGTGAACTCAGAGAGCTTCCCAGCAAGAGTTTTAGGCCAAATTGGAGAGGACACTCCTGGAACTCACTGCTTACAGCAGAGTAAAGAATGAACAGATAAACCAGTTTAGTTGGTAGGGGCAGGGAGAGGAAATGAGAGATCTAAGGCATGGAGACCTCTAAGGTTCTCAAGAACTGAGTTGAAGGCACAATTTCTGATTTGCAATATCAAATTGCAATAGGAAGAAGAAACCCCATTGGATAATCTTGCTGGAATTAGCAGGTCCATCCCTACAAGATGAAGGCCATGGGTACAGTGAGCTTTCCCCCATCACCAGAAAACCCCTAATCAGGTCTGAGGCTTAAGGCTCAGTTGAGTTTTCCCTTGGCATATTCTCTATCATTTAACTGTTTGAAAGCCTCCATTAGTTAGATTGTGCTATATAATTTTTTGTTGCTCTGTCTTATTGTATATGCATTGAGTATTCACCTGCACGTTTTGTTACTTAAATATTAATAAACACTGTTATGTTCCATTTGAATATCTTCTGTTCTGTTTTCCTGAGCTTTGGGAAGTAGAGGTGGGAAGTCTCAGCATCTCAAAACTGAATCCATCTTTCCAACAGCAGCTTGGCAGCTGAGGGCCAACTTGGTGTGGGTCCAGCCTAGTTAGTGAATTCTGCAAGTTGGAAAGCCTTAATGAAAGGGGGTTCCCAGAGCAAACAGGCTGAAATGTTGTGGATCTAAGGACTATTTTAGTCTGTATGAACCTGAGCACAACAGTCTGAAGTATCCAATGTCATTGGCCTGTCCCTGGGCCAATGCCTGCCCTCCTGATGCTGTCAATGGTTGGGCTGACCAGCTCAATAAGCTGGTTCACTGAGTCTGACTTAAACTATAGCAATGATGTGAGCTACGAATTCAGAACAACCCACCTTCAACTCCAGGTCATATCCCATCCTAGCTGTTAGCTTAAGTAAAGCATTTAAACTTCCTGAGTTTCAGTTTCCTCATCTATAAAATGGGGATAATTACAATAATTGAATAATGCAAGTAAAATATATACTTAAGTGATAGGCCCCCAACTACGACAACTTTAATACAAACAGGGTATTGGCTTATGTAACTGGGAGATATGTGGCCAGGGTTGGCTTCAGGCACTGTTCAATCAAGAAAGACTCTACCTTTCTCTGCCCTCACCTCAGTTTTTCTTTCCCCTCTGTTGGTTTGTTTCTTTTAGCAGTTTGTTGTTGTTGTTGTTGTTATTTTGGTATGGGGGATGTGGGGCTTGAACCCAGGGGCATTTAACCACTAAGCCACATCCCCAGCCTGTTTTATTTTTGTTTTGAGACGGGGCTCACTAAGTTGCTTAGGGCCTCACTAAGTTGCTAAGGCTAGTTTTGAACTTGCCATCCTCCTGCCTCAGCCTCCCAAGCCACTGGAATTACAATTGTGTGCCATTGTGCCCAGCTTGTCAGTTTGCTTCTTGAGAAGATTGTCCCACAGAATAGCAGTGATAATTGCTCCTGTTTCAGTGACGGAACCTCACAAAAAGAAGCCTCTCTTTTCTGATATCTGCAAGAGAAAACAAAATCCTGATACAACTCACTGGACTATTTGAGTATTATACCCATCCCCAAAACTCTTCCTATAGTCAGAGCAGTGTTATTTAACCACAGGAAGAGGCTGAAACCAAATTCCAAGAAAAGCTGCAGAGGTCTCATCTTTGAGCCTCTGGCAAGTTACCAAACTTCAAGGAAGAGATGGTTCTACTTGACAACCAAGGAACATACAAGTTCCTACCACAGAAAATATTATATTTTGTCCTGTCTTTTAACTTAGATTTGAGGTAGCAGGAGATATAAAGATAATATTATTGTTGTACCTAATGTGAAAGAAAGCTAAAAATGTTTATCCCTTTTTTTAGTTTGTTCTAATTAGTTATACATGACAGTAGAATGCATTTTGACACACTGTACACATCCTTTAATCCAGCAATTCTCCTTCTTCAAATTCTCCTAAGGAAATAATCCCAAGTGTTTATGTCCAAAGATATGTATCAATTGTTGAAAACAGTATAACTGGATCATCCTAAAATTCTGTCATAATAGTTTTATAGATAAGTGAACTAGCATGCAGCCATTAAAATTATTAAAATCTTTTTCTAATATTGACTCTATTAAAGAGCACTTTGAAAAATGCCCCCAAAACAAATATGTTCCAAAATATGTTTAAAGTAGTTGTTTCTGGATAAAGATATGATATTTTTCTTCTTTATTTATGCTTTTCAGTATTTTTCAAATATTCTTCAATAATAATATCTTTGTTCTCAAGAAAAAATAAAACTGAAACTTAAGAGCAGAATATTAAAAAAAAACAGAAAAATCCATCTCAGGCAGCTTGGAAGAAGGAAGTTATAAAGTCATGGCTGCATAAAGGTCTCTCTTATTCTGAACCAATAAAATACAATGGTCAGCCAGGTGTACTACTACTCAGCCTCCTGAGTAGCCAATCCCAGCTACTCAGGAGGTAAGAGCATTGCATATTCAAGGCCAGCCTGGGCCACTTAGTGAGGCCTAGTTTCCAAATAAAAACTTTTTAAAAGGGCTGGGGATGTAGTTCAACAGTAGAGCATTTGTCTAGCATGTATAAGGCCCTGGGTTCAATATCTAATACTGAAAAATAAAAAATAAAAAGTACAGTGGTCATGAGCCCAGAAACTGACTTCACACTATGCTGTTTTAATTTTCCTTCCCATTTGGAAACCCTCTGCCATTCACTTCTCCATTTGAGCATTTCTACTCACCTCTAAAGATGGCAGAGCAGAGGCCCCTATCCCTTTTGTTAACAAGAACCAGAAAGGAGAAAGGACATGCTCGGGACCAGAACAAAGACTAGAGTCCAGACCCCATTAGGCTTTTTCTTGCTCTGAAAGGCTACCCAGACCTCACCTCCTCTCTTCAGGATTGGCAGATAGTCTGGGCCAACCAAACCCTCCTGTGTGAGGAAAGATCCAGGTCCCCAAATATTTATCAACAGGAACTCATCACCTACATCTTATAAAGAAGTAGCTCAGCATGAGCCAGTGTATAGAATATTCAGATCTAAATAAGACTTTGGGGATCTCAAAGGGTTTCTCAAGTTTTCTAAAAGATGATCTCAAAGGGCTGTGGTTGTGGCTCAGTGGTAGAGTGCTTGCCTAGAATGTGTGAGGCACTAGGTTCGATCCTCAGCACCACATAAAAATAAAATAAAGATATTGTATCCACCCAAAACCAAAATATAAATATTAAAAAAAAAATTTTAAAAGATGATCTCAATGTCAACTGGAATGGTAGCATTAGATTCTACTCAGAGATTTTCACATTCAGGGGAAATTTGGCTTTTTCTTAATTGGATAAAGCAAAACTTCATGAACCCAGTATTACGTGAAAATTAGAAAAACAAACTATGCCTCCTAGAATAGACAATAGAAATAAAGAGAAAGCACTAATGGCAGAAACAGAAGACTAGTGAAAGATTACTTTGAGCCTTGAAAAAGTACAGATAATTATTAATGTTAATATTGCTATCAATATCATCTATTGAGAATCTACAAGGCCCAAAACAGGCCCTTTCTGTACACTCTAACCCTCAAACAAGCCCCCATTAAATAGGTGTTATCTCTGCTTCCCAGGAGAAGAAACCAAGATTCAGAAAGGTCAAGAAGAATCTTGCCTAAATGAGGTAACCAACCATCCCACTCAAAGTCCTGTGTCCAAGAAACCTTACAGCTCCAAGAAAACCAGGACAGCAATGCCAAGCCGCATAGCTGATGGATAGAGAAGCCTAGATCCCAACCAGGGTTTGTCTGGCTCCATGTCTCACTCTCTTCCCACAATGCCAGAGGGAATACCAAAAAATGGGCAAAATAAATTTATAAATACATACAAAGAATTGAAGAAAGGAAGAACAGGAGGGAAAGAGGGAGGTAGAAAGAAAGAAAAAAAGAACAAATAAATGAAAAAGAAAAAGGAAGGAACTAAGAGCAAGGGGAGAAATAAAGAAGGGTAGAAAGAAGTTGTAAATGTACTACAAAGAGAAAAATTTTCCTATGAAGCCAAGAAGCATGATACTTAAAACAATTTAACTAAAACTTCAGTTTTTAATTTCTATTTTCACAAAGTGCTAAAAGCATGTCTGTTGTAAGTAGTGCACTGACAGATGAAGAGAGTGGGAGAGGATTTGGGGCTCCCTGAACCCCTCTGGAGCCTACACATTCAGCCTTTGCAAAACTCTCAGTGTGCTCTGTATTTAAAGAGAACAGCAATGCTCTCAGTGTGCTCTGTGTCTAAAGAGAACAGCAATGTGTTGCCACCCAGAAAGCCAGAGAATGCCCCAGGACCCCCAAAATGTACTATGTGTAGAAGTATCTGTCTCCCCAAGCAGTGCCAGCCAAAGCTCCCGGGCCCTCCTAAATCTGGTTTGGGATGGGGCTCCTTTTACACCAGCAATCCCCTTAGACTAGAGCTACCCCCGAAGTATCTGGGATCCATGTTAGTTCCATCTGCACTGAGAGGTTTCCCATTCCTTTCTTGTCTCAAGTGATACTTAAAACAATTTAACTAAAACCTCAGTTTTTAATTCCTGGACGTGACCTTCTCATTTGGTTTCAAGTTGTTGACCAGAGTAGGCTTCCCCTTCATGATCAAAGCTGCCGCCCCAGCCCTTGCTAACAACAAAAGCTTATTTATTTTGTTCAATGAGCCAACTTGAACTTTCCCCAAAGAATTTTTTGAAAGTTTAAAATATCAAACATATTAAGCACGTAGGACTTTGCCACCCACACTTATGGCGCAAAGGAGGGAGGTTGCCATGGCAATACCTCTGGTAAAGAGGATGGAGTCAGCCTGAAGGGTGAAGAAAATACCACAATGGGACACAGGCCGCCCAGCTAGCCAGCAGGCCCCTTATGATGGTAGAGTGTTTGCCTAAGTCTTAGGAATTAAGTCATAATTGAAAGAAAAAAAAAATGTCCAACGGCAAACAAACATATTAAGAAGTGGAGGTGGGGTCAGAATGTAGGTAGAGGAATTTTGAAAGTCAATAGTGAATGGATGTGACTCTGTTTTCTTACAAAAGCTTTTGTGCAGAGAGACCAGTCCCCATCCATGAGCAGAGGGGCAGAGCCAATGGGAGAGAAAGAACCCAACAGGAAGGTCACCAGAGTTCATTTGGTGTCAAATGACCCTCATTGGTAGCATGTACCAAGACCCCACCTGTTCATTCTCTGTGACCCAGTCATCCCCTAGTATTCCTTAACAACCTGCCCATAGAAAATCTTCTTCACTCCAAAAAAGGGATGTGGTAACAAAGAAATCAAGTGCAAGATTATTGTTATGTCTGTAGAACTAAAAATAGAAAGGAAAAATTTAATTCTAACAGTAGGAGAGGCATTAAACCATGATGCAACACCATAATGAAAGATGATGTAGACAATAAAATCAATGGTTAAGAAACTTTCACAATACATGGAGAAAGTTTCATTCTTTTTACATAAAAGATAAAAATCATCATTGCAAATACAACATGATCTAAATTATGGTGAAAACAGAAGAAAAACTGGAAGGAAATGTGTCAAACAACTAGTAGTTTTTGTCTTGAGACTGAAATGAATTTATTTTCTTCTTCCTTAAGTTTCTAAAAAAGGGCATGTAATTTTTATATTTACAATAACAATAATCTTTTCTTTATTTTTTACATGTCAACTGTTTACTTAAAAACAGTTTCCCAAAAATATTAAAACAATTTACTTATAAATCACAAAGATGAAAAGTAGAAAAGTTAAGTAAAAGACATGAACAGGTAAGTCCTAAAAAGGGCAGTAGAAAAACTAAATATCCACAAATACTGAATGGATAGACAGTGACCTATTCACACAATAGAATGTTAAACAATGAGTATGAACCAATTATAGTTACATATATTCCAGTATAGGTGAACTTCACAGTGGAAAGAGTAAACAACTTGCAGAACAGCCTACAACTTCCAGTTAGCCTGTACATTACGTATATATAATCTTAAAATATTGCTTAGAGAGCTGTGACAGAGCTGATAACTCACCAGAGCAACTGGGAATGACTGGACCAGTTGTTTATGGCCAGTATCTGTCATGAGTGGTAGATATTTTGAAAGTGACCCTTACCATTCTCATGCAACAGAACCATAAAAAAAAATGCATTTGTATGATAAACACCAAATTTAGGATGGCAGTTACCTCTAGGGAGGAAAAGGTCACAACCACATAAGTAATATTTTATTTCTTAACTAGGATGCTAAAGCACTTGAGCACTTAACAGTAATCTTTTCAAAAGACCCAACATGTGTTGTTCCACCTCATAACCATTCCCAACTCTTGCCTGCACATAGAGGCTTTTATAAAAGCTCAAACTGTCACCTTTTCAGCAGCTTTGGCAGATATCAGAAGCCACACAACACAATACCATCCAAGCAGATGGATATGAAGTCCAAGCCCTGCCCTTTCCCCCTCCTCCTGTCTGGGAGGCAGACATAGACTTGGGCTGTGTCTGGGAATGAGCTGGAAAGGCCAAGAGGATGACAGAGATGCTGACCTTAAAGCTGTCAAGGATCTGCCCCAATGTTAGCAACTGGCAGTTGTTAAGAGTTTGATGAAAAAGAGGAAACTGCATGAAGGAAGGCCAAGGGCAAAGGTTCTCAACCATTTGGTCCATGTGGGGAGATTTTGGAAATACCAATGCCCAGGTTTTGACTCTCCAGATTCTGATTTAATTGCTCTGGGATGTGGCCTGAGCATTAGGATTTTTTTCTTTTTAAAGTTTCCCAGGGATGAAACCAAGTTCTAGGGGCACACTGAGAACAACTAATGTACCCACTATCCAGTGATTCAGATTTCTTATTATGCACAACCAAGAAATACTACCCTAACTGATGTAATTATACTGTTTCTAAAGGCTGGCCCAAGAATATACATACATAAAAAATGGTGAATTTCCACAGCACATACTAGGCACGTATATGTCTTTATTTCTCAGAGTGGAGAAACTTTTCTCCCTTTGAGACCACACCTGGTCAAAGACCAAGTTTATGAACTATGTAAAAGTACAATTTCATTGCCAAAACAGAATTATGCCCAAAATAATTCCATATCCTTTTGTCCCTTCTGTGCTTTCACTGATATTTCCCTGTAGTGGCAGAGACCATGAACTATTACAAAACTTCCACACTGCACCTTGACCCAAATCTCAGGCTCCTCCCCTTCATGTTAACACTTTGCTACAGCTCAGAACTCTAATCTCCCTGCTCAGAGGGCAGCCCATCAACCAGAACTGGGAGTTTGTTAGAAATGCAGAGCCCTGATGCTAATCCCAGGTAAATTCAATCAGAATCTGCATTTTACCAAGATTTTTAGACAATCTGCATGCTCATTAAAAGCTGAGAAGCTCTGCTATTAAGAAATAACAAGAACTAACTGAGTTTAAAGCAGTGAGTGCTCTAACACATTCCCTTTTTGGTCCTCTTCTGCTGTTGGCAAAAAAAAAAAAATGATGAGGGAAGGGAGAAGGAAAGGGCAAGAGGAAGGCTGGTTGCTCACGAGGGCTGTGGTGCAGTATGTCCACTTGATTGCCTTATGCAATCAGCAGGCTTTATCTCCTCTCTCCAGACAAGGGCCGGGACCTGGAGCACCCACCCCGAGTCTCAGCCCTTTCCCCATGGGCATCACTATTCCAACCAGCAGAAACACCTACAAAACTAAAGGTCAAATATAGCCTTCCCATAAAAAGAAAGCAGAGGAAATCATTGTCAACAAGTCTGCCCTACTATGTGGCCCCCAAAAAACATTGCTAAAGGAAGTTCTTCAGACCAAAGGGAAATAATAAATCAGGAAGAACTAAAGAGCAGCATAAACAGACCTTGTTTAACAGTACCCTAGCTATCACCATGTAGAATGCTAGCCTGAGAACTCGAGGCTATCAGGTGCTGGACCTTGCTTCCCCCATCACACAAGATCTGAGCCTGTCAGCATTCCCACACTGCCTCATGTATAGAAATGTATATGGTCATCCCTCCCTATCCACAGGCTCCACATGCAGGAGTTTAACCAACTACTAATCAAAAATACTCAAGAAAAACAAATAACATGTATTAAAAATATACAAATTTTTTTCTTATCATCATTCCCTAATAATAAAGTATAACAATGATTTACAAAGCATTTACATTGTATTAAGTATTATAAGTAATCTAGAGGTAAGCATACAGGAAGATGTATATCAGTTGCATGTAAGTTCTACACCATTTTACATGAGACTTGAGCATCCAAGCAGTTTGGTAGCTACAGGTATTCCCAGAGCCATCTCCGTTGAGGATACCAAGGGGTGATTATATCTGCTTATGTACAAAGAGGAAGCATGGTATAACTAAGTAAGAACTAAGCCATAGGTAAATCTTGGCAGCCTCTAAACCCAATACAATAAATCTGTAGAATCTTAAATGATATTTTTGAAAATATTACTTTGCACATATTTGATGTAGAATTGGAAACTTCTAGATGAAAATTTCCTCACAACCCCATAACTCAAAGGCATCTTTTAGTAACTCTCCAGATATTAAGTGAAACCAGTACCAAGAACAAAGAAGTAGTCAATGGTTATTCCCTGGTTATTATCTCATAGTAGGAGGTAATACCATATCATTCTTTCAAATTATTGCAATTCATATTCCTCATCAACCTATCAATTTATTAGACATTCATTTTTATGTTTTGATCTCCCATTTCATGAATATTTTGTGTGCAATGTGTGTCTCTTTGTTTCATGTTTATGGAAGCACTGAATGTCGGTAAGAATAAAATTAATTCCATAATCCTTATTTCTCAAAATGTACTAAGGAATAAGAGTACTGGACTTAAGAATAATAACAAAAAATTAAAAATGTAACATTATGCCTAGTACACTGAGCTGATCCAAAAACCTTTGTTAAACTTTTCCACAGTAGGGTGGTAATAGGAACATTTTGTGTAAATATGAAAGGAGAGAGATAATACTTTAAAGGGAATGAAACTAACTCTACTGTTTGCTTTTAATCACCTAGAAACTGTTTTACAAAAAGATTGCAAAGTATCAATTAGTCATCATTGAAGTTCAACTTTTCCCTCCCTTTAGGCATATTTTCCTCCATATGTGGAAGAAGGCTTTTAGAAGCAGCAGATCTTAGGTGATCTTAGGCCAGATCACTAAGGGGTTTATTGTGGTCTCTGTTGTGCAGTTTTACCCCAGAGCAGCTAGTGAAGAGTATATGGTTAACAGAAGGAGGGAGAGAGCAAGAATATAAAGGTACCCCTGTGAAACCCCGGTATCTCTATATTCTCTATATTGCTACAGGGTATCTCTATATTCTTCTCTGCCCTGTATGAGTACCTTCTTTATTGCTTAAGTTCATTTCAGTCAGGATTCATGACTACTTATAGCCAATGAACCCTAATCAAGCATGGACATCCAGGCCAGGGCTTCATTGCATATCGTGGGCAGGAGGGTATGGCTCCCACAGAAACATCGGCTGTGTCAAGTGTGTTTCGTGGACTTGGAAAGCTTAAGGGAAGAAGAATGTCTTGAAAAGCCCCATTTCGAAGGAAGAAAAGTGAAAAAGAACACACTTACTTCAAGGATAAGCAGGGGCAATTCTGGATGTGGTGGGATGACCATTGTTGTAATTGTCCTCTAATGTGCACAGACTCATGTGTGAGTTCAAGGGAAAGTCCACTGCAAAAAGAAGTGAAAAAAAATATTAATAATTGCTTCACTAAAATCTCCATTGCATATTAAAAGGTGCCAGTGCTGTGACCTGGCCATTTCAGGAGTGTCAGTAAAAACACAAAAATGTCCTTTTTTTTTTGAAGCAAGGGACAACAAGCAGTCAAATCATAAATGCCAAGGACTCAGGCATAAAAGAATGACACAATTAGTTAGCCATATCTGACATAGAAGTGGCTGGGGACCAGAAGTACACATGCACATCTTGAATCTCTTCCTAGAGAGACCTTGATCAACCATTCCTGAAACACAAAGGACACATTCTCTCCAACACCCATGTTACACATTCAAAAACCCTTTTTCTCTATTCTCAAGTAAAGATACACTTACAAAAGTGCACTGTCTCTAACCAATCCAGTCATTGTTGAACAATCCACCAAACGTAGGAGGTGTTCTTGTCACATTTGTTATCTCTTGTGCTTTAGGATACTTGACAATCCTCAACTACTGCTGCTTCTTGAAGAGCAACAGCACTCCACCTAGTGAATCTTACTTCAGAATTTTAGTGCTATTGTTAATTTTTAGCATTATTCTTGTCTCTCTGCTTCATCCTAAAGATTGTAACCATGAGTAGCTTTGACATGCTTCAAAACTTTTGTTCTTCCAGGGAGGTTTTGAAGAGGGTCCAACTTCAGGCTGTCCTTCTGAAACAAGGCCATGGAGAATCCTTTGAATTTATTTCATGGATATTTCTTGAGTGCCTACTCTGTGCCAGATGCCACAGCAAGTACAAAGAAGAATGAGGAAGAAAGGGGAAGTATCATTTGTTGAGATTCTGACTGCTATACAGTATGCCAGTACCTAACTGGGGACTTTGAAGTGTTCAGCTCATTCCATTCCCAAAACACTTCTCAGAGCATCATTATCATGATAACAGCTGAGGAAACGGAGGTTCAGGGAGGTTACATGACTTGCCCAGACACTCATCTAGTGATTAATGGAAATGAGAGTTGAATCATGCTTGTCTGGCTCAAAGCCCATGATGTTTTAATTCACCATAATGGAACCAAATAAAAAGTATGTTTTGCAGGAAAGTGGGGGTAAGAAATTTGGGGTCTAGGCACTTCCTAGGAAGCAACAGGAAAATGAGCCAATTACCAATTCCCTTAGCCTCAGTGGCCCAATCAACATGGGTTAATATCTAGGCCCAAGATTTTCCTAAGGTTGAAGATGATGTGTGTAAACTTCCTCCCAGATACTAAGTAGTCTATGAAGAATGAATGTTGCTATTCAGAGCTATATAAATTACCATTTCTCAAAAGAAACAGCAGCCATTTTTCCTATATATCAAATCTTGGGTGTAAAATCTAGGATCTAAGCTAACAAGATTTTGCTAGATGACTTTGAGAAAGTATGTGGTTGTCTCAAAAATCTCAGGAAAGTCAGCAAGAAAATTTCAAATCAGAGGCAAGTTCAGAGATGTGCTTTCCTCTTCCCAAGCCCTTGTTCAGCTGTGCTACTGGCCAGGAATGACAAGAGGACTTGCCTTTGTTTGAGAATGTTAGTGAATTTGCATAAAAAGTGATAAACAACATAACCACTGGATCTGGCCCCCTGGAATAGCCATGGTATCTGCAGCCAGTGGAAGGCCATTATCTAAAGTGCCTGGAATCCCACCGCAAATCTTTACAGAAAGGCACAAACTCACATTGGATCAGGCTTTTGTTGGCCTCTGGGGAATGCTGACTTTGTTTGTTAATGCCACAACAAATGTGTCTCTGAATAAGGGAATTGACAGGACACCTGTCTCTGCATTGAAACCTGATTAAAAGCGAGGCCAACCCTTTCTATTCTCTTAGGAGTCTTCACAGTTTCTAAGCTGTTTAGTCCTTTGTGATTCAGTAATTTCTATGGCAGGAAGACTCCATCCTTCTTCTAGTGATAATCTACACAGCACACATGAATATTCAAGTTCTCACACTGAGCAACAGTCCACCTCCCAAAAGGAAAGGAGGACAGTTGCCTAAGAAAGAAGGACTCCATAGGAAGTGCAGACACAGCCCCATGATGCCCAACCCACTCACAAATAAAAGACTTTGGGGGGGCATCCTAGGCTGGCAGCAATTCCAGAACTTTTTCAAGAAAAGATCCCTTAAAAATGAGAATAGTGGAGGGCTGGGGATGTGGCTCAAGCGGTAACGTGCTCACCTGGCATGCGTGGGATCTCTGAGTTCGATCCTCAGCACCACATAAAAATAAAATAAAGATGTTGTGTCCACCGAAAACTGAAAAATAAATATTAAAAAATTCTCTCTCTCTCTCTCTCTCTCTCTCTCTCTCTCTCTCTCTCTCTCTCTCTCTCTCTAAAAAAAATGAGAATAGTGGAAATGGTTGACAACCACTAACTTCAACAATTTTAAGTGCTGAAGTTGTTACATGATGCAAAACTGAGGCAACATGGAGAACCCCTCTTTAAACCTAGATACTTGAAATTGTGCCAGAAAGATATCAGACATGTCACTCAGAATAACAGGAATGCGTTTATCAGAAGGGATAGAAAAGAAGAATAGGGATGCTCTCAAAGGAAAAAGTGGGCTCTCTCAGAGAAGAGAGGGACAGCCTACCCCTCCAGTTTTATTGTGGGTCTCAGGAAAATTTCCATAGAGTTCCATCCAATTCTACCTCTTGACTTTTGATTGACAACAGGATGACATCAGATTCTCAAGTCCCCACTGCACATGACAACTCTAGGTCATTTTAGCTATTTCAACTGGTTCCAATTAGAATAGATTTTGTGGTAGGAGAAATTATCCTTTCTACCCAAGTTCTGGAATATGGTCTGTGTAAAGGTCACAAGAATCTTCTCCCTCGGCATAACTCATGTTCTTTTTTTACAAGCATTTGAGCCCGAATTTCTTCTGCAGATAACAGGTAGTTTACTAAGGAATGTAATATATCCTGTTGACTTAAGCCAGGCAGGGCTATACGTACACTGCTTTTTAAAAGAGAAAGTCTGTGGGGGTTCAGCACAATGGGCCCAGTTTATAGAGTTATTCCCTTAACCTCAGGTTTCCACTGCTTGTATCTGTTCCTTATCAAAGTTACAGTGCATGAATATAGCTCCACACTAATAATAACACAGATAACTCAGCTTGTGTTCTCAAGAGGCCTACCGGTCACAGACCACAGTGGACAATGCTAATTATGAATTCCCTGTACATATTACCTTCTGCTCCACAATATAGCTCTATGTTGTGTTTTGGGGGTTTTTTGGCAATCTTTAAAGGTATTTTACCAGTTAAAACTTTTGTCCTCACAGTGGCTAAAATGAAAATCAATACCCCAGGAAGATGTACCTTGGTTTTCTTACCAGCAGCCTATCCCAGGGAGCCTCCCTGGATGCCAGCTAGCTGAATTTGACCAGCCAAATAAGATGGAAAATTGAATAGTGAACTGTATGCAATTTGATCAAACTGGGGAGAAGCAACTAGATTGCTCTGACAAGTGACTTATGTGATTCCCCCCCCCCACAATCAGCTTCCTTTTTCAACAGAAAGAATATGTTCCTAATTCGTGGAGAGGAAGGGTACAAATTCGGTCTGTTTCAGTTTCTAGAGGGCTTCTGGAGGAACCCTATGGAAGCACCACTCCCTACTGACTTGAGAAACATGGAAAGGAGAAAGGCTTAGCAGGATGGCATCCTGGGTTGTTGATCCCAGGGTGTGGTCCCTAAAATGGTGCTAAAATGCTAATTTAGGGCAACACACATTTTTCACAGAATAAATTCAGGGACCCAGCTACCAAAGGCCCAAAACCATGTGTGTGTGGGCCCATGTGTCAAATCTCACTCCTCCACATCCTGTTCACCATGCTGCCTCAGGCCTACAACATCCAATGGTACCAGTTCTCCACTACCCCATGGTCCTCCACTGCTAGCACCCAGGGCAATCTCCCAACCCCTCCCAGGCTCCATGCCACAGAGGACCAGCAGTCCTTAGAGAGTGGTCTCACCTATATTCTCTGAGCAGTGATATAACCTGCATTACATGTGAAAGCCAAGTGTCCCTATATCTACTGAGCTGTGAGTCATTGGTAAGGCCTGTTTTCTCCCAGAGTATCTCAGATATAAACATGACTATCACCTGTGGCCTCTGCTTTCATCTGTTCTGTGCTCTGGGACCTGCTGCCCCTGATGACTTCACTAGATATACTTCACCCATCTCCTCTCTAGGATTCAGACTACCATTTTCTGGCTCCCATCAGGCCACCTTCAAGCCATCATCTACATCACTATGGATCTGCCACACAGCCCCTGCCTCTGACTCCAGTCGCTTCTTTCTGTCTCCCCAGAATGGGACTGCTTCCCCTTCTGAGACACAGTTCTGTCATAGAACCACGTGGATCCTAATGATACAGCTGTGAACTCCATAATTCCTAAAGGGCTTTTTCAAAAATCATTTGTTTCTGCTGTACATTAACCACAAAAGAACTAATTCTAAAGCAAAAAGGAAAAAAAAAGACAATTATGTGAAAACAGCTCAGAACCATGAAATAGATGCTGATTATAAATACAGGCTTCAGGCATTATGAAATGAGGCAGCTCTAAACTTTCAAAGAACAAAGAAAAAGCAAGAGACTTTTTTAAATATCAAAAGGACTTTCAGGTTATAATTAGTAAATTGACTAACCTTTTTAAAAGTAAAAGTGAATTTCTAAAGCCTGCAGCATTCATGGAGTTATAGAGTATTGTAAGTCTAGGGGACCCTCTTTGCCAACCTCCTCACCTCATAGAGGTGAAAACAAAAGTTTCCCTGACTTTCCCAAGGTCATAAGACGTGATCATAAAACTGATGAACTTCCTCAGGTCTTTTCCTCTCACTCAACAGTGGGAACTGCTTTCCCATGTGGTGGCAATCCTCAGATTATTTGGATATATATACAGCAGTGATGTTTGTGGAGGTGGTGGTAATACTCGTTACTATGATTTGGACTAGATTTGTCCCCCAAGGGTCTATGTGTTAGAGGACTGGTCCTCAATGTGGCAGTGTCAAGGTGATGGACCTTTAAAGGGTGGGGTCTTATAGGAGGTGGTGATGAAGGTAGCAATGCTGGTGGTGGTGGTGGTGGTGGTAATGAAGGTGGTAGAGGTGGAGGTGGAGGCAGTAGTGGTGCTGGTTGTAGAAGTGGTAATGGTGTGGTAGAGGTGATAATGATAGAGGTGGAGATGATAATGCTGTTGACAGTAGAAGTGACACTGGCAAAAGTAAAAGCAGAGATAATGGAGACAGTGACATGTGCATATACTTGGAAGCTGAGGAGTAGGTGGTTAGTTCAAAGACAGCTTAAGAACATAGCAGCCAAAATTAAAATTTCAGTTAGGACTGAATATAGTCTAAGAAATTGTTGGAATGAACAAAGGGACACAGCAGGTAGAGAAAAAATTAATTAGACAGAGCTATAAATAAAATGGAATGGTACACAACTAAGGAAACAATAGCATCAGAAGGATTTTTCAGTGTAGAATTCCATGTATGTTTGATAGTTCCAGGCCAGAGAAAAGCCCCAACAGTGAGGCTCCTCGAATGCAGGTACGGGTTGAAAAACCCATCAGGGCTTGTTTTTGGTTTTTGTGAGTCTATTATGTGGTGCTAGGGATTGAACCTAGAGCCTCATGTACACTGGGCAAGTGCTATCCTGCAGCCCTGACATATGTTGGTTGCTTTATCTGTGCAATGACCTCAGCTAAGCTTTGGCAACACAAGGTGAACAGGAAAACCACACTGTCTGTTCTGTTCCCTATCTTTAAAGGTTTGGGAGTTGTGTTTTGTTTTGTTAATTGCAGTAGAGTTGCCTGGCTGAATAAGACAGTTTGCCACATCCTTCCCATCCTGCCCAATGAAGGTGGTGATGTAGGCTGGTAAAACCCAGCATCTCTTGCTGTGAAGTCCATGTGTCATTAAAAAGCACTCATGTAGCTTTGTGGCCCACACTGCCACCATGTGGAAGGCACCTGTCCGCTGGTCCTGCACAAAATAAAACTGAAGTTGTAAAAGCTTTTAAGCTAAACTATCACCTTTGTCAGAGGACCAAAGCACTTCCTTTACGTGGTTATTGTGCTCATTTAATGCAAAGAAAGTGCTGCTGAAACTGAAGGCTGAACAAATCCCAATGTTATGGTTTATATCTGAGGTATCCCCCAAAAGCTCATGTGTGAGACAATGCAAGAAGGTTCAGAGACGGAATGATTAGATTATGAGAGCTACAACTTAATCAATGGATTAATCCACTGATGGATTAGCTGGGTGGTAACTAACTGTAGGCAGGTGTGGTGTGACTGGAGAAAGTAAATCATTGGAGGTGTGCCTTTGGGGCTCATATTTTGTACCTGTTCAGTAGAGCTATCAATCGCCCTTGCACATGCTTGCTCTCGCGAGCTCGCTCTTTCTCTTTCTCTCTCTCTCTCTCCCTCTCCCTTTCCCTCCTTCCCCTTTACCTTGTCCTCAGCTGCTTTCTTCTACCACACCCTCCCAGCATGATGCTCTCTCTACCTCAGAGCTATGGAGTCAGCTGACCATGAACTGAACCTCTGAAACCATGAGCTAAAATAAACTTTTCCCTCTAAGTTGTTCTTGTCAGGTATTTTAGTCAGAGTGATGCAAAGCTGACTAAAACATGCAGTGTTAATTTATCAAGTATATGTCTGCCAGGATGTAGAAGCAGGAACCATTGTGCACTGTTGGTGAGAATGCAAAACTGTACAGCTACTATGGAAAACAATATGGTTTCCTTAGAAAACAAAAAACAGAATTGCCATAAGATCCATCAGTTCCAATTCTGGTTATATAACTCAAATAATTAAAAATAGAATATCAAAGAGATATTCACATACCTATGTTTACAGCAGCCTATTCACAATAGCCAAGACTTGAAAGCAACCCAAGCATACATGACAGATAAATGGATGAAGAAAATGTGACATACTCATACAAAGGAATATTACTCAGCCTTAACAAGGAAGGGAATTCTGACACATACTACAACAAGCATGAACCTTGAAAATGTTATGTTAAATCTTAAACCGGTCACACAAAGACATTTAGAAGTACTCAGAATACTTAAATTCACAGCGTTAAAAAGTAGAAGCCTGGTTACCAAAGCCTGAGGACAGTAGGGAATGGGCTATTCTTGTTTAACAGGTACACAGTTTTCCATTTGGGATAGTT